TAAAAAACATAAACAACAAGGTATGTTACTAGTTTGAAGAAAAAAATCAAACCTTACCGTTATTTCGAAAGAAAAAACGGCGGGGCAGATTACAATATTAACTGGTGTGTTAATATTTGTTCAATTCTTCTGCAAAGCAAAAAAAGTAACCGGCAAGCGCCCGTCGACCGAATGTTAGCTTGGGTTCAGTCTGTGGACCGTTAAGCTAGCCCGGCTACTGATATTCGAGATGTGCTCTGAAGCGAGAAGAGGTGTTTGAATGACGCTGCGTCATAGCGCAAGCTACTTAAAGGGTGGGTGGATTCCCTGACGTAGACGTCAAGATCACCAGCCAATCAGGATTGGCGTAATGAGATTGATGCTTCTGTTTGCATAAGCGTTGAGGCGCATCCCATAGTGAGACATCGAACGGAGTGTTATGAATGAGAACAATCAGGGGCGGGGCAGACGCTGACGATGGCGGGAAAACAAACAAAGGCAGGAAGTAAAGGGACCTGGAATGAGACAAGGTGAGTACAAAATAAAACAGGAAGTGAAAGAACATAAATAGCTAAACTAACATGAAACATGAACATTATAATCACAAACATGTCTTGACTAACACATTTGATGAAACACAACAAAAAGGAGAAATTCACTATCTTCCCCCTCTCATGATGGGCGCATCATGAAGACTCAGACTTTCTAAAGAATAGTTTATTCAACTAGGAAAATTGTTGCAGCCATCGTGGATAAAGTAGTGTCAATGAAAGTTTACTCATTTATAGCTTTTTCCAACTTTGAAATGATGGTCTTCACAGAAAAAACTGAAGGGTTGACTTTAATTAAATGTATTATGTCAACAGTATTACGTTTAAATAAACAATATTAAGTTCAACTAACATAATACAGTTATTTGAAATGTGTTGACATAATACATTTAATTAGAGTCAACGTTTCAGCCTTCAGTGTTTGATAAAACAATGGGAAAGGGTAACATCCCATGAAGGCATTTTTTTCAGTGAGGACTTGGCTGTGAAATCAGGGTATACCTCAAACTGGACCTTTGTTAGAGCTTTCTGATGATCAGATGCCTAAGTAAGCATCTATCTTATTATACGTTTATTAAAGATATGCAGGGGGGCTGAGTTATTAAGGACTCATCTTTTTCTGGCAGAGAAGCAGGGGAAAACCCTGCATGTCCATCAGCCAACTTCAAAGAGCCAGTCAGTAATCTGAAACGGGAACCAGAATGATGGCAAACAAGACGCCTGGCTGTTATTTGTGGGTTTGGCCCACAAGCTGCGTGTGAAACCTGTCACTGAGGATAAACCCGCAGATGGTCACTGCCCAGTAACAAACTCTCCTTAGTCAAACCTTCACATTACTGGACGGTCCATTTTGGGTTTGGGGATGTGGTCATAAAAACTTGAATGACCTTAAACTTTTTGATGTTAAACACAGACAAAACTGAAGTTATTGTACCCCAAGCATCTCTGAAACAAACTATCTAAAGATAAACTCACTCTGGATGGCATTAACTTGGCCTCCTGCGAAACCGTAAGGAATCTTGGTGTTATATCAGGATTTGTCCTTTAACGCCCACATAAGAGGACCGAGACCTATAACTCTTTATTATCAGGCTGTAACAAAAGGTCTCTTAAGTCGCTTCAGCTGATTCTAAATGCTGCAGCACGTGTGTTGACAAGAACAAGGAGAAGGGACCATATTACTCCTGTATTGGCTGCTCTGCACTGGCTCGCTAATACAGGATAACATTTAAAATCCTTCTTATTGCCTACAAAGCTCTTAAGGGGCAGGCACCATCCTACTGCCCCACTAGGGCATTGCGTTCCAAGAATGCAGGTTTGTTGGTTTTTCCTAGAGTCTCTAAAAGTACGATGGGACCCAGAGCCTTCTGCTATCAAGCTCCTCTTCTGTGGAGTACTCTACGGGTCCCTAGCACATAGAAACTGCTGGATGCTAACTAGTGGGGACCCCTACTATACATTTATATTATAAAACGTTGGGGTACTCAACATTTCCGGCTTCACACTGCTGCCTTGGATCAGCCCTAGTTCTGCTGCTATAGGCTTAGACTGTCGGGGGACACCTTACTTATTTCTTCTCTTTCTCTGTACGATACTCTCATGTCCCAAATATGTAAGCTACTAACCCATGCAGCGTCCCAGGAGTTTTTTTGTGTGTGTCTGTCACCCGGCAGGTTGTCAGCATTAAAGGTTATGCCGTATTCGTATTTGATATTCTGCACGAACTGTTAAGCCTGTGAGACAAATGAAGAATTTGTAATATTGGGCTATATAGATCAACTTTGATTGGTTGATTGATTGATGATTGATTGATTGATTGATTGATTGATTGATTGATTGATTGATTGATTGATTGATTGATTGGTTGATTGATTGATGTGGTCTATTAAGCAGGAGCAGGTAGTAGTCCCTGCTTAGATAATTGTTTGGTTTCCTAACTATGGTGATGTTGTATGGACTGGATTGACAACAAATCTGATCAGAATGAATGCAACAGGGCCAGAGAAACCAACCTTTGTTATTCCAGTGATCCTTTCCTCCTAGACTTAAAGTGACGCATAGAATACCCATAATCAGGCTTGGTAAGTAAAAGATTGTATTCTAATTGGGATACGTAATCAGGATACAAAAAAAGGCTCCATAACCACAAACCTTCCCAAAGCTGAACCTTGTGTTTGAGCTATATAACTATAATGATAGTTTACTTACCATAACCTCTTAAACATTAACCATACTGTAGTGGACATTTGAAAGTAATAATGGATGTAATAAACAAACAGACAAACAATTGAACATAATACATAAAAAAAGATATACACAAAAAACTTTCACTTTAATTAAATGTATTATTTCAACAGATTTCACATAACTGTATTAGCTTAGTTGAAAGCAATAATATTAAATTGAACCTACTATTTTGTATTTAAAGTTAATATTATTGTTTTCGACTAACCTAATACAATTATGTGAAATGTGTTGACATAATACATTTAATTAAAGTCGTAATTTTTTTCAGTTTACTTATCACAGTTGTGAACATAACTTCCAACGTATACGTAATAGAATGTCTTGAGTGAAACTCTTCTTTGAATAAAATATTATTATATATAAAATATAAATAATACAAATACAATCACATCCTGGAACCTTTAACATGATATTTGTTTTGTTGTATCAGTCACTGAGCAATTACCTTTTTCACCCTAGTTGGATGTGATTTGAAGTTGAGCACCACCTCCTTCTTGTGACTGACTGTCCAGCCCCTCAGCGCTGCTCATGGCGGGGGGGCAGTAGACTGTCCTGAACCTGCTGCCCTCACTCACACACAGCTTTCTCTGGGATCTTCGTACGCTGTCCATCGAGCAATAAAAAACCTGTAACCAAACCCAGGGCCTAATCCAGCCGGTACAATCGCTGGCAGAGCTTCACCTCCACAGATCTGAATCCTTGCAGACTGTCTCTACACAGCTCTGCGCGGGAGGATTCATCAGAAGAGATGATCAGACTCAGGGTTGCTAGAAGAAGGACAGAAAGTCAGACCTAACAGGGCAACCATGGATGGTGTCAGTATTCTACAGCCATTGTGCATCAAACTTAACCTTCTTAATGATAAGTTAAAAGGGCCCTATCATGCTTTTTAGGGGTTCCCCTTCCTGTAGTGTATTATAGGTTTGTGTGCATGTAAATGTCTGCAAAGGCTAAAATCCCTGTGTTCCCTCCAGAGTATGTTTCTCTCCCACACACTTGAAACGCCTCCATTGGACTTTGTTTACTTCAGAATCAGAATCGGAATTCCTTTATCTGTCCTGCAACGGGGAACATTTACATTATTACAACAGCAGCAGTATAGTGCAGAGAACATTAAGAGAATACACTTAGAGTACATACTAAAAATTTTTTTATAAATAATAAAAAACACAATAAGTAAAAAAACACTTTCCCAATGCACGTTAATAACATGAGCTTAAGTCCATTATGAATATGCTAAATGTAGCCATACAGGGCTAATTCTTATCCGCAGTCCTTGGTTGGTTGATTGAATTAAAAGAGAGGGCACATATTTGTACTAAAGTCAAAGTAGTTGCTAAAGTGTAAAAATACTCTGCCACACATAATATCCCTGCATTCAAGTATCGACATCAAAATATACTTGAAGTACCAAAAGTAGAGGTATTTGTTATGCATATGGCCCATTCATAATAATATATAGTAAATTACTCGAACATGATTATTGATGTGTTATTGTGTTTATTACAGTTGGTAGAACAGCACTAGTTGAAATTGCTTTGCTGCTGATAGTTGTGGATATATGTGTCAGAGTGTATTTAATCATTGATTGATAATTGATTGATAACTATCCTACAGCCAGTGGTAGAAGAAGTATTCAAAATGACCAACATACATCACATTTTTAGTAAAAGTACAAAAGTATTATTAGCAAAATGTACTTAAAGTATAAAAAGCTAAAGTAATTATTGTGCAGAAAAATTGCGTTTATGTGTGTATATGATTATATTTATATATGTGACATTTCTAGATAATATTGTTGCATCAAGGAGCATTATACTAGACAACAAAGTTCTGACTGACTTTTTGTAAAATGCTTAAATAATTGGACTCTTTTGTGACTTAAAGAGTTCGTCCACTAATTAAATGTTTAGAGATGCATTTTGTTAAAAGTAGCTAAAGCCGTTGTATAAATATAGTGGAGTACAGTTACATTAATTGCCTTTTAAATGCAGTGGAGTTGAAGTATGAAGTAGCATTAAAGTACCTCAGTTGTATTTGGATACAGCACTTGAGTACTGTAGATGTACTTAGTTACTGTCCAACTCTGCAAACAGCTTAATCAGCCCGTGACTAAGGCAGCATTTTCCTGCGCTTCTCAGTAACAGAGAAACCCCGCCCACTGCTCGGTGCCATACTCCAGTCCAAACGTGCCAAGAAGCAAATCATCTCGGACACATCAGAGGCGTCCGAGCGCACTGAGCACAACATCCAAAAAAGAAATCTAAAATATGATTGAATCCTCTACCTTTAATGAGTTTTAGTGAGTACAGCAATGTATACGTTTATCGTTATGTAACCAAACAAAAGTCGTGCGTAAAGTTTACTTTTACTTTGGAGACCATGCGCAGCTTCTCGGAGCCGTGCGTCCCAGGTGAGGAACCACAAATCTTTCCAACCAGACTCGGAGATTCAGCCCGCCACGGGACCATCTTGTCCGGACCTTCGCTCTTCTCAGCCATGGCCCTAGCCTCCCGGAGCTCAACAGATCCGGGTTTGGATGCCGGCGCGCGCCCGGTGACACTCCAGTCGCAACCGGAGCAGATTCTGTGCAGGCCTCCCGGAATTCTGGAGGAAAGAGGACTGACAGAGGATGAACCGAAAGTTTATTTGGAAGCCAAAAACCTTTGGACACAGTTTCACAAATTCGGAACTGAAATGGTCATTACAAAATCTGGAAGGTACAGTACATGGGTGGGAAAAGTACTCAGATGTGTACTTAATAAAAGTAGAAGTACCAGAGTGTAGGAATACTCTGTTACAACTTAAAGTCCTGCAATCACAAAATGACTCAAGTAAAAGTATAAAAACATTGTCATCAAAATATAGTGAAAGTAGCGACAGTAAAAGTTGTGCAGATTGGTCCATTTCAGAATAATATATATGATATGTTTTATAATGATTGATCATGAAAGTGTTCTCAAAGCTGGTAAAGGTGCAGCTAGTTTGAATGGCTTTGTATACTGCAGGGTAGCTTGTGGATTTACTCCAGGTGGAACTAAAGTCTGATTTAACACTTGATTAGATTTCACATCATTCATCCACATCTGTGAAGTAAAGTAAAAGTACACAGTTTACCTCTGAATTGTAGTGGTGTTGTAGAAATACTCAAGTTACTTGAGAACTGTACTTGAGTAAATGTCCTTAGTTACTTTACTACAATGGTGCAGTACATGGGTAATATTTCCACAGTACGGACAGTAGTGAGTGCTGCGTCACGCCGGTGTCCCTCTCCCTGCAGGCGCATGTTCCCGCCGCTGAAGGCCCGGTGCACCGGGATGGACAGAGCAGCCAGATATGTTGTTCTGATGGACATCGTGGCGGCGGATGACTGCAGATTTAAGTTCCACAACTCCCGCTGGATGGTGGCGGGGAAGGCGGACCCGGAGATGCCCAAACGCATGTACATCCACCCGGACAGTCCGGCGACGGGCGAGCAGTGGATGTCCAAAGTGGTCAACTTCCACAAACTTAAACTGACCAACAACATCTCCGACAAGCATGGATTTGTATGTGTGCATTGTGTAATGACTGAATATAAATAATAATAATAATATGCTGTCAGAAATGTGCTGAGTTGCGCTGGACGGCCTTTGTGGTGATCGGCTGTTCTCAAACATTTAAATATTCGTTCTGCTGTGATACATGAAGTAATCATTTTAAATGTAATAGCATGTTGATCTTTTTCAGTTCTTGTCTAAATCGCCATGTCCTTTTTATACCTGTTGAAAAACATACTTAAATATGGTTTTAACCAGAGGTGGAAAAATAACTGATAATTAACAAAGTAGCAATATCACAGTGTAAAAATACTCCTTTGCAAGTCAAAGTAATGCATTTGAAGTTTATGCATCAAAATATACTTTAAGTACCAAAAGTAGTTCTTATGCATAAAGGCCTATTTTAAAATGATTTGATTAAAATGATTGGTGCATTAATGTGTTCATCACTTCAATACTGTACTTGGTGGGGTTTATTTTAATTACTTTATAGCTTGTTGGCTAGCCTAACCTATAATGTATGATAATGTGTTGATTTATAATTTGTATTAATAACCTTGATTTGTAAAACATGTAAAATAAATGTAGTGTAATAAAAAGTACAACATTTGCCTACAACATGTGGGTATAAGTATAAGCTGAATGTGAAAATACTCTAGTAAAGTAACTTAACGTAGTACTTGAGTAAATGTATGAGTTACACCACTGGTTTTAACTTGTGATTTGTACTTGCAGACCATTCTAAACTCCATGCACAAATACCAGCCGAGATTCCACATAGTGAAGGCTCCTGACATCCAGAAGCTTCCCTACAGCACGTTCAGGACCTATGTGTTCAGCGAGACGCAGTTCATCGCAGTCACAGCCTACCAGAACGACAAGGTGCAGCTGCTGCTTTATGATCAGAACAGAATCACTGTTAGTCCCACAGCGGGGAAACTTACAGCGTTACAGCAGGTCAAAAAAGGCACGCAATAATAAAGAATAACTTATTAAATATATTAAAATAAAGACAAAAACATCAGTGGCTGAAAATGAGGAGCAGCAACTTAAATCACTTAGTGACATATAGGGGACATAATTAGGTGCTGAGACATTAAGACAAATGTTGGGACAATTATAACAATGTATGTTTTTCACATAAAGGTGATTGCACAGCATTGCAAGAAAAGTGTCTAAATGCACATTATAGGTTTATTGCACAAGACTGCAAAGAAGCTCTGAAGTGCCTGCAGTCATTTGTTTGCTCCAATCAATGTACAGTATTTCATTTTACATTCTCTTCTTATGTTATGTACATGAATAGACTTGCATTATTTGGTCACTGACAACATTCTCTGCAACATTTAGCTTATTGAATCTATTTTCTTTTTTTTCACTTCTCATTACTTTCACATTGGTCTTGAAACATAATCTTGCACATTCTTATTGCTTTATAAATGTGTTTAATTGTTTGATTTCTTAAATGTAACTATGTTGCATTGCTGCAGAGACTTTAGATATTCATTAGCTGCTGCGGATGACAACAAAGCCTTAGAACAGTGAAAAAACTGAAACGTTGACTTTAATTAAATGTATTATGTCAACGAATTTCACATAAGTGTATAAGGTTAGTTGAAAGCAATACTATTAAGTTGAACCTAATATTTTGCATTTTTAACTTAATATTATTGCTTTCAACTAACCTAATACACTTATGTGAAATTCGTTGACATAATACATTTAATTAAAGTCAACGTTTCAGTTTCTCATTGAATCTTTGACTTTACAAAGAAAGCACCTTTAAACGTCTTTTTCAACTATTTATAAGAAGTTTTAACCACGTGACATCAATAATAATAATAACAGGCTTCTGCTCTCCCCTCTACCTGTTTCTCAGATAACGCAGCTGAAAATAGACAACAATCCTTTCGCTAAGGGATTCCGGGACACGGGCAACGGAAGAAGAGAAAAGAGGCAAGTTATGAATTCATTGAATAACTTGATCCGGAGACAGCACGCAAAAGCCACATTTGGTTTATGGGGTTTGTTTCTTAGTTGTTGTCCAGCTTCAGGCTCACAATGCTGCCTTGGAAGACGTATCCAAAGCCACGTCGTCAAATATGCTGTTGTCATGCTAAATGTAACAAATCAAAAGTTTGTGTTATTATGTTATTTAACTGCACAAAGCTGCCGTCAAAATAAAAGCATAACACGACTTCAATCAACTAAATTAATAACTCTATAAATAAATCTACATTTATCATAAAGCAAAAAGATAAATGTTTTACTATTAAATAATATAAATCAAAAGCTTCAACAGTTATTCTATTATTATTATTTGTTATTATTATTATTTGTTATTGTTATTCTTATTATTTGTTATTATTATTATCTTTCTTTGTTCAAATCTCAAGTGGAATCTCACTTTTCAGAGCTGCTTTTAACGTGTAATTAATATTGTTTCATGTTTTAGGTATGTCTTTTTTAGTATAATTCATTTTAACATGTATCTTTGAGAAACTTTAAAAAGCGTTATATAAATAATAGGTGTTATTATTATCATTAATATTATTTAAAGTACATCATTATTTATTCTATTTTTGGATTGAAAACATCCCAAATCTAGATTCTACATTTCAGATCAAATGGCTGCAGTGTAGAAGTACACTTCCCTCTGAAATGAAGTGCAATAGAAGCACACAATGCAAAGCAGCCTGTGACCTAAGATATAACTACTCTGTAGCTATGTACGTATGACAAATAAAGAACCTTGAACCTTGAACCTTGAACCTTGAACCTTGAACCTTGAAATAGTCCGTTTAGAGATGCTCTGATAATCAGCAGAGTTGCATTCGGTCAGTGCTGGGTACTTTCAATCGGTGGGAATTAATAATACTTCTTTTTTAAATGTTGTTTGTCAGTAACTGTTCCAACATCAAAATACAAGTTTATAAAGTGCCTAATTAATTTCCCAAATTTAATTTGTATTTAAATGTAATTTGTGTACAATACATACATATACCATTTGTACAATTTATAACGCTACCGGCCTTTTCAATACTTTTGTATGTTCACTTACTTGAAACAATAATGCTACTTTTGACCTTGGTGTACTTATTTGTTTAACTTAGGTGTCTATATTCTTAATAACATGTAACTAGTTATTAAATATGCAAATCTGTCCTTTTGCCTTTTCTCTTTACCTTGCTGCTACGACGCTGTAAATGTCCCTGCTGTGTGACCAATAGGTCCTGGTTCTGATTCTGTGCCCAGTATTATCTAGTCCGTTTTATACACAGGAAAGACAAACTATAATGCATTCAAACTGTGTCGACAGGCAGATAGGCTGGACAAACTATCCATTCTACTTGGTTGATGTTTGCAAAGCGAATCTAAAATGATTATGTAAATCATCAGCAGTTTTATGTTTCAGGTTGTTTTCTCCCTACAAAGGTATTTTCAGTAATGTATGTTCCTTTCATATGTTAAACCAGGAAACTACAACATTCATCACAAAGGTCTAAAGAGATGCGGTTGGCTGACGTGGAATCAGAATCTGTAAAAAGTTCAGACAATTCCAAATCTTCAGGTATGAAAAAACACATAATATGCTTATTTTCAGAGGTGGTAGAAGTACTCAGATCTTGTTCTTGAGTAAAAGTAGAAGTACTCAGATCTTGTACTTGAGTAATAGTAGAAGTACTCAGATCTTGTACTTGAGTAATAGTAGAAGTACTCAGATCTTGTACTTGAGTAAAAGTAGAAGTACTCAGATCTTGTACTTGAGTAAAAGTAGAAGTACCAGAGTGTAGGAATACTCTGTTTCAGTAAAAGTCCTGCATTCAAAATGTTCCTCAAGTAAAAGTAGAAAAGTATTATCATCAAATATAGTGAAAGTAGCGACAGTAAAAATAGTCATTGTGCAGATTGGTCCATTTCAGAATAATATATATATATGTTTTATAATGATTGATCATGAAAGTGTTCTCAAAGCTGGTAAAGGTGCAGCTAGTTTGAATGACTTTGTATACTGCAGGGTAGCTTGTGGATTTACTCCAGGTGGAACTAAAGTCTGATTTACGAGTTGATTATATTTCACATCATTCATCCACATCTGTGAAGTAACTAAAGGGATTAAATCCATGTAGTGGAGTAATAGTGCACGTTTAGCTCTGAACTGTAGTGGAGTAGAAGTACAAAGTAGAACAACATTGAAATATTCAAGTAAAGTACAAGTACCTCCAAAAAGTAGGCCTACAGTAGGCCTACTTGAATAATGTACTTAGTGACTTTACACCACTGCTTATTTCATCTAAAAAACATGAATCAAACTGACATTCCCATGTATTTATTTTCTTCCAAGATGCTCATGAAAGTGAGAGTGACAAAGAGGAAAATGTAAAGGACAATCCTGGAGAACAGCGGGACACAGAATCCGAGCCAAAGGTTTCCACAGCAGGTCGGACACTTCAGACCTCAGTTCAGAGAGGAGTGGACCCCCGACAGAGCCGTGTCCTCAGCATGTCAGCTGATGGAGCGGGCCGCTGCCAGCCAAAGGACTCAGATGAGGAACCATTCTGCAGGGGTTTAGCACACTGCTGTGTTTACCCAGCGGATTATAACGGACCACTGCGGGATCCGAGGAGTCTTCTCCTCTCTGCTCAGGTGAACAGCTGGAGCAGCTGTGCCCCGCTGGGCCAAGCAGGGCCCGGGGGGCTGAGCCTGCAGGCAGCCCCTGTCAGAGCTGCAGGGACGTCAGGGTTTCCTACGGGCCTCCAACAGCACGCACCGGTATGCAGACGACCCACAAACAAGTGACACATCTTTTCAAACTCATTCAAAGAGCTCATCAGTTTTACATTTAAATTGTAAAGAAACAATGTTGTGACTGTTGGAAGAAGAATTCAGATCACAACTAAAAGCAGCAATACCACTTAATATCTTCATACAGGTCTTAACTACACTGAAAGACTGAAACGTTGACTTTAATAAAATGTATTCTGTCAACAGATTTCACATCAATGTATAGGTTAGTTCAAAGCAATTATATTAAGTATAGCAAATATTGTGTATTTAAACTTAATAGTATCAGTTTTTTCAGTGTATATTGTTCAGGTGGCCACATTTTTAAAGACCCCAACATTTTGCACTCAGCTGCTACTCTTATGGCGCATTTCCACTGCAGGGCCTCGCTCGGCTTAGTACGGTATAGTTAGGCCTTAGTAGGCCAGGCTCACTTTATGCTGCGTTTCCATTACAGTTTAGGAACTGGGGCAGTAACTATAGTAACGCAGTGTAGGCGGAGCCGTGACGTCATCTTCAATGCGAAACACAAAACCAACATCAGCCGTTAGCTCTTAGCACTCAGAGCTCACAGCTCCTCATATCTGTTCAGCAACTAGACAAAGGATAAACAAGTACAAACCACAGACTGTCTGGCCGTTTCTCAATGTCGAGTAAAACTGCTGCAGAGCAACTATTTCAAGTATACTACGTCATTGAGTGGCGCCGAAGGACTGTTTAAATGCATGTTAAATGCCCAGCATTCTGCGCCACTCTGACGTAGTATACTTGAAATAGTGGCTCTGCAGCATGTGTACTCGACATTGAGAAACGGCCTCTGTGTCATGGCGGATACAGTCACTGGTTTATTTATGTCTGTAGGCCGTTGTTGTGAGTGTGGACGGTCGGAGCATATACTGCGTTAGCTTAGCCGATCTCCATTCAGAAAACATGCATTTTAAAAGGGTTTTCGCCTGCCGTCTGTCTGCAGACTTGTCAAAGCATTAATTCATGGTGTTTACTAACCGGTATCAGTATGTTGTTACTTCGGCATCATTTTGAAACGTGTATTACAATTAAATCACGGTCAAATATGTTCATTTTGTTGTAGGCCTAGTTGTAGCCCCCTTGCCAGCGATTCTCTCTAGTTTAGTATACTCAGCCCGACTCAGCCTGGTTGTTGGCCCGGAAAGAACCTCGATTTTGGAAAGCCAGAAAACTGTGAAAAAGTACCCGCTAGCCGGAACTACGGCAAGTGGAAACGCAACCAAAAACGCTTAAACCGCGCTGGGGTGGAAATGTGCCATTAGTGGGGTAAATTGACCCACACTTTCAAATGTGTGTTCTCAAGTAATAATATTTTTCATACACGATATAAAACTTATTTTTCCTTAAAACATAGGATACAAATCTCAATGCTCCTCATTACATTAACTACCAGTTTTTAAATGAAGGAGCTTTGAAAGATACCAAATCAGAATCAGAAGCTGGTTTATTACCAGGTAGGTTGACACTATGGACATAGATATGATCTAGATATAGATCTAACGTTCCGCTGTTCATTATAATAAAAAAACTGAGCATTAAACAAACCATCATGCTCTTACTTTGAAATCATGCGGAAATGTCGTCATCAGCAGGCCATCACGTGGTTTCCGAAAAATAACCCAGTGACGCGAGTAGATTTTAGCCGAGACCGGCGGAAAATATGTCTCAAATTCCGTGTGTGTAAAAAGACGATCCACAAGCAGAAATGTGAGATCCGCGAGCAGAGATTTGAGATCCGCAAGCGCATTTTTGGTCCACAAATACAAAATGGATTCACAAATGCCTGATCGAAAGTTGCAAATGTTAAAGAGATATTCACAGATCTTTTTTTTATTTGTGAAAATCTTTTGCGTATTTGCAGATCCGTTTTACACTTGCACATTTATTTGTGAGTTTGCAAATATTTTAAATGCATTTGTGGAAGGTGTTTTACATTTACAAATCACATATTTACACACACATTATTTTTATGTTCACACAAATAATTATGAGACATATCTATGTCCATAACACGTACGAGGAATTTGACTTGGTGTCGTGGTGCATTGGTGTCTGGTCAAAGTAAAACAAGAATTATAAACATATAGAGAACTATTTTAAGAAAACTATAAATTAAAACATAAAATAAAGTTATTTTAAAACAAATCTCTACAGAAACTGATCTCTTGGATTAAGTCAATAAACAGACCAATTCAATTCTGTCCATAACACATGGTGAATTATTATTATTATTATAGGTTTCGGTGAAACAGCGCCCTCTAACAGTGACCATTGACATAGAAAAAGGTACTGCAGCGCCGGAGCTGCTGAGAGGATTTCATATCGAAATGATTACCTGAGAACTTAATTAAGATGAAGTAGGCTACTGTGAGAAGTTGATAAGGTTGAAGCTGCTAAAATCAGGAAGTCACCACTGTTATTTAATATTATTGCTTTCAACTAACCTAATTTGTTGACAAAATACAATTAATTAAAGTTAACGTTTCCGTTTTTTCAATACACACTTTTGCTTACCTATGGCTTACCGAATTACAGAAGACGTTTGGACAGCCTGGAGCCTCGTTGTTATTTTCCAAACAAATTTAACTGAGTTTTTCTAAAACAGACACCAGCTCAGACGGATAGAGAGCTGCTGAATGGGATCACTTTAATATATAACCGAGTGTATTTTTCATGCTTTCCCACTGATGGGCCACCTTCATTCAAAGGGTAACTTACGTTTAATAAAGGGTATTAAAGTCACTATAACATGTTATTAGAATTGTTACATAAACAATGCATAATAATGTGAAAGCGCTTTAATGCTGTAGTAAGTCGACTTGAAGCTAATTCAACTTAATATTAAGATTTCAAAAGGATATTTTTCGCCCATTTTCCTAATTTGCAATCTTATTGGTTCTTGTAAAAAGTAAGATTAAAAAGTAGCCTACACAATGTGCCTTTCAAATGTAGTGAAGGAGAAGTTCCTTACATTCTAATTAAAGCTATGGTTTTTTAGTACAGAATTCTGTCAGTGTGTTGCCTCAGGCCGTACCGAAGGACAAAGAGGACATTTTGTAATACTTTAAAGTGTTCATCTGAATAATGTATCTGATGCCTAATATTAACTTTTGTTCAACTTTGGAGAACATATTTATCAACCGCCTACTTTAGACATTTTTTATGATTAGCATTGGATGTTTAAAAGGTGTTCATCCATGTTAACAGGAGGAACGATAATGTCGAGACACATTTTTAAATGCTGGACACTTATTATTTGAAGAATTACTTTAATACTGAGAAACTATCTGTTGATTAGTTAGTACACTGAAAAACTGAAACATTGACTTTAATTAAATGTATTATGTCACCAAGTTTCACATAACTATAGTTGAAAGCAATAATATTTAATAATGTTTAAATTAAAAATATTGGGTTCAACTTAACATTATTGCTTTGAACTAACTACAGTTATGTGACATTTGTTGACATAATACATTTAATTAAAGGTGTCCTATCATGCAAAATGCACTTTTTTATTTATTGTATACATAAATGTGTCCCCGGTGTGTCAGAGAACTCACAAAGTGTCAGAAAATAAAACCCTCTCTCTTTTCCTTCGTACCCACATCTCTAAAAACGGGGGTACAACGGAGCTGATCCAGATTTGCTGCCGATATGACGTAATATTGGAAATGTGGGCTGGCTTTAGACCCACGGCCCTATCAGAAACATCGCTATCAGAAACAATTTGCAACGTAATATGATCTGTGTTTACATTAGCAGGCATCGCTAACACTCAGAGCTAACGCTGTACTGGAGAGAGTATGTGTAAAAAAGCAGGATATAAAAAGGAACTCCCCTTGTGGTAAACCTGCAAGAGAAAAAGCATTTGAGCTCCATACTGTTTCAGAAATAATCCTTGTGGGGGAAACTTCTGAACCAATTGGAAAAAGGACTCAGAGAGACACGAGGAGAGCTGGAGCTTTGATGGCAAACACTGACGGTTTATTTGGAGCTTCGGCCGGAGAATTCACAAGACAAGTCACGGGCCTATGCCATGGGAAAGGAGACAGTGAAAAGAGGAAAATTATGAACTGTGTCAAAGGTTGAATGCCTAAGCAAATTATTCCCCAACAATCCTTGATGTGGTTTGGAACATGATATGGCGTTTAATCACGGCAGCATTTAGCTGAGTATCTGGGTAGTACCCAGAATCAGCTCTTTAGTAACAGGGCTGAAATAGAGGGGTATGAGGCATGGCTAGAATGGGTGATCTGTTTGGTATTTTGAGTAAAACACTTCATAGACATGTTTTTATATATTTTTATATATCTGAGACCTATAATGTATGCCTACAAATAGTATAATAGGATACCTTTAAAGTCAATGTTTCAGTTTTTTGAGTGCAGACAGCATTTTAATGTTGTTGTCTGTTGATGTAGAGCAGGGGTGCCCAATACGTCGATCACAGCCGTTTTTTTTTTTCAATTTTAAAGTTAGCCTGTCATCCATCCTTACTATGGCATTTGCCACTTGATTGACGTACAGGTAAGCTAGTCTGAGTTGTATTGTGCCCCCCGCGACACAGATTGGGCAGGGGCGGCCCTGTAGGTAGATCTTTTGGGCTTGGTCATCTTAACAGTAGCTCCCAAGCTGAAAAAGTGTGGGCACCCCTGATGTAGAGCTTCATTAGCTCACTGTTATACATTTCGTTAACTCACCATTGTTGTTAATGCTATGTTCTTAATTTGAAGTCAGAGTAGCTGTCAGAAATATGTAGATAAGCACCATTACTGTGGCATTTGACTGAAGTGTAGTACTTAGTTCTTGAGTCCACACCACTTATTCCCTAAAAATCAAGTGATATTCTCTTGTTTTTTCCATTGTTCACAGGACCTGGTGGGCCTCTCACACTTTGGAGGCTTTCTGCTTTATCCCTACTCCAGCTTCCCTGCAGCCTCAGCCCATTACCTCCTCCCATCAGTGCGGTCCAGGGTGGATCTCAGAGCATATCCAAGCATCCACACTCAGGATTACATCCCCTCTCCTATGATGTCTTCCTTTGTTCCTGCTTTGGGTGGTGGTGGATTGAAATATCTCGCCCCCAATTTGCTTATGCTACCCAAAACAGACCAGGACTCAGTAGAAGACGCTGAAACTGACTGCAATCAAGACGAGTCGCAAACAGGGTGAAAGTACTGAGAGCAGTTACTGCTGACTTAAAGTGTCCCTGCATGTTCAACCCTATGTTCAGAATCCAAAGGCTGTTCACTTGCTATGATAGTACATCAAGTATTGGTAAAGTCTGAAAATGGTCTTGTAAAAACCCAATAGTGTGTATTGGTGAAGTTTCATTGTGGGTGGATAAAGCTCAACCTTAGCTTAACTCACATTTACTTGAAAAGGAACAACTTCCACAGGACTCCAATAAAAAATAAAGCTAAAACTAAGTATTTTTTTCCACTGAAATACAAATGTTTACAGCATCGTACACAAAATAGTTTTGGTCGGTGAATTTCCTTATTAAAAGCCTACAGGAAAGTTCCAATAACTGCACGTTCATCGAAGGGCCACTTGAGGCTTGCTCCAAAAGGAAGGCAGGCCTCGTGTTAAAATGCCGACTGTAGAGTAGAAATGATAATGTTTGCTGCCTCCTACAAAATGTTTGAACCATATTAAGTCCTAAAGTGTCATGATGTAGTATGTGCCGCTGTGAAGGGAACGTGAGAGGCAGGCTGCACCACTGTGTTGATGGTCGGTGAATTCTCTGTGTTGGCCATGTTGTTTTGTGGATTCTGTTTAATTTGCTGCATGACGAGATGATCGTGTGGTTGTTGTTGTTTGTGAATACAAAGGGTATGAGTTGTGGGGGTCTGTCAGGTTAGGTGTGTGGTTTGCTGAAGATTTTGGGAGGGAGCTCCTGTTCCAGAGCAGGACTGATTGGGTTAAGGTTTAGCGTTGACATGACAACCTATAGTTGGGATCAGCAGGCAGAGTTGCAGTCGTAAACGCTTCTCTGCCCTTCCATTAGGGCAGTATATCCCACTAAAAACCCCAACAAACTCATTATTTCCTTATATTTGGTAGGAAAAAGTACACCAAGCTGTTTTTGGAAAGAACTAGTAGAGCTGCACATAATAGTTTTATACTTTTTCATTGTGTTCAAACCCAGTTTTATTGCACAGATGACGCTAAAGATTAAACTTATACTAGAATTACCTTCCAATGGTGGCTGCTTAGCATTGTTTCCAATAGGAGTGATCCATACATTTCCAATAACCCCAGAGCGTCACAAAGTCCAAAGACAACTTAAGAAATGTTTTCAATTTAATCAAAACCATGGTTCTATTTCGTCCCTACTTACCGCTGATCATATTCTGCTCATTTTCAAAATAAGAAACATGGCATCCAGCTATTGTGTTAGAGCGCTAGCGAATAGAAGCACACGTTTTACATAGTGATATCCTTATGTAACGGAAGTAAACAAAATTCTAATGGAGGCGTCTCAGGCAGGGAGAGAAACTCAGTCTGGAGGGAACACAGGGATTAGTCTTTACGGAGCATTCATTTGCACAAAAACCTATAGAACACACTACAGGAAAGTATAAAAAGCCAAATAGCATAATAGGGCCCCTTTAATGGAAGCAAAAGAAGTACAGCACTAGACGCAAAATATTTGTGGTTTTAAGGTTTCACGTCTTTAGTGGGAATATGTTATGTTCAGATGTTCTGCCGGAACACCTCTCTGTCGTCCCAGTTAGTGTCGCTAAGTAGCCAAGCACCTCAGAACTGCAACAGCTGCTGTCGACCTGTCGAAGGAGAGGCTGAGAGACAGACAGACACACACACAACACACAGACAGACACACACACAACACACAGACAGACAGACAGACAGACAGACAGACAGACAGACAGACAGACAGACAGACACACAGACACACAGACACACAGACAGACAGACAGACAGACAGACAGACAGACAGACAGACAGACAGACAGACAGACAGACAGACAGACAGACAGACAGACACACAGACAGACAGACAGACAGACAGACAGACAGACAGACACACAACACACAGACAGACACACAACACACAGACAGACAGACAGACAGACAGACAGACAGACAGACAGACAGACAGACAGACAGACAGACACACAACACACAGACAGACAGACAGACAGACAGACAGACACACAACACACAGACAGACACACAACACACAGACAGACAGACAACACACAGACAGACAGACAGACACACAACACACAGACAGACAGACAGACAGACAGACAGACACACAACACACAGACAGACAGACAGACACACAACACACAGACAGACACACAACACACAGACACACACACACACAGACAGACAGACAGACAACACACAGACAGACAGACAGACACACAACACACACACACACAGACAGACACACAGACACACACACAGACAGACAGACAGACACACAGACAGACAGACAGACAGACAGACACACACACAGACAGACAGACACACAGACAGACACACAACACACACACAGACAGACACACAGACAGGTGAGTGTCTTCAGAAAGGACCGTTTATCTTCAGTTCAGGTGAGTGTCAGCAGGTAAACACACCTGCAGGTCTCCGTGGCAGCAGCTGTCCATCAGCTTCAGACAGAGAGACGTCTCACCCATCAGCTTCTGTCTCACTGAGTCACTGAGCTGACCGTCTGAGGACACAGCAACCAGCAACTTCAACAGGCAACGCAGCAACACAGCAACACGACACGCCATCCTGAGAGAGACCGGCAAAGAGACAAGGGACCAATACGTTAACAAGAAGATATAATCTATATGGTGCCCAATAACACTATATTCAATCAACAAAATGCATTCAGGTCCTTTCAGACGGTGATTCAAGTGTTCAAGCTGCTTACTGATGGTCTTATCAGATCTCACTTCCAGCTCAGTTAAAGCATGTCCAATTTAGGTTCAGAGATGTCCACTACATAGCCAAAGTGGCCCCTGCTCTGCACAACACCTCAGTGACTGCTGATCCTGCCCAGCAGAGGGGGTCCAAACATCCTTTATACTTTACCCAGATCTTTGCTATGAACCCTAGGCTGTAACCAAAAGCACTGTTGCAAATACTGCTGTTCAACCCAGTTATAAACCTTGTCAATTCGCCAAAGACTTCCCAAAAGTGTAAAATTAGAGCAATAATATCACTTATTGACCACTGTGTGGTAACTTAAAGACCTAATTAAGTGATTAATTGACTTTTCTTGTATCCCATCCAATAAAAGCACTTTTACACATCATGTCAATATCATGTCACACTGATGTGTGCATACATAATGCATATGTTGATGGGAGGCTGCCATACTTTAATTTATCTAATTCTCATTCGCACCAATAGGCGCGTTCACACCGGAGTACTTTTCCCGTTTAGTTCCGTTAGTACCCCTGATGTCGCGTTCACACCAAAAAGAGTACTTAGTGCCGGGAACTTTTACCCCCATTTTTAGTGCCTGCTAGAGAGGTGGTACCAAAAAAGTACCAATTTCTATTGGCTGGGCAAATTGCAAACCACGGCCCCCAAAACTGAAAAGTTTTTTGAAGCCGCCATTGTATTTGCTAGCATTAGCCCCGCGCACCAACGCAGAGAGACTAACTTATGGCAACACAAAAGAAAACATGGGAGCAGTAGAGATGAGGAGGTGTCGGCGTTCTGGCGATTTACTCGGAAGGCTTCAGTAGAAGCTGCTGGGAGTCCCAGCAGCTTCTACTGAAGCCAGTCCCCAACTCCGGGGACTTCGGGTGGCAGTATACGCCGTGAAGTGGTTTGCGGCCTGCCAGTAAACCCAAAGCAGAAGAAAACAAAGTGACGTCAGCGGCTTCATTTGCGTAAAAGTACTCCGGTGTGAACGCGATTGGCACTAAGTGCCGGCACTTAGTGCGACAAAGTACTTGGTGGGAAAGCGGCTATTGACTATTGTAGGAGCCAATTAACACTGGGTATAAGGTAGGAACCTATGTTTGTTGGTGAGAGGTTCCGCCGGAAGGCCATACAGTTTTTGACCACACACACGGAGAGCACACACACACGGAGCCCTTCTCACTTCTCTTATTCTTCATTTCCTCGCTCCTCGGTCTCGGTCTCACTGGAAGTTGATTTGTCTGCGCCATCTTGAGTAGCGTCCCAATGGCCTTATTTTTGCCGGAGGAGCGAGGAGTGATAATGGAGGATCTATAATCGAGGAACCACCAGACCATCCTTCGATGAAATCCTCAGACACTCGCCCCGCCCCCTTACTGTGTATCGCTCACTGATTGGACGATGCAGCGCATGCACTGATCTGATGCTTCTTGACATGAGAGCAGTTTCCCAGCAGAGTGAAGAAAATACATGAACCTCACGGGAGTCACTCCTCAGTTTATACCGTGTTTTGTTTCAATTCATGTTTCATTTAGTTACAAATATGTGATATATCTGAACAACAAAGTGGTCAAAAATCATTTTATTCATTTTTTGAGCTTTTTTCGTTTATACATTTTAAGAATGGCGTTTATCTTTTTTGAGAATGAGTTCTTATTTTATTTAATGTATTTGGGTCTACAACAGATGATACAAATGTTTGTGTCATTAAATGTGTACTAACAGGGGCGGGGGTGTGTGTGGAAATAACGGGTACAGAGCTGCTGTCAGACGATCAGCTGTGCAGCGTCATCACAAACAGACGTCGCTTCACGTGACGCTCCGGAGGAAAGGACGTCCCATTGCTCTTAAAACTAATTTCCCTGCTTCTCGTGGTTTCCTTGCGTCCCTCCATGCTTCCCTGGTGGGAGGGACTAGACGCAGGGAAACGACGCAAGTGAGGGAAGCAAGGAATCCATTTAACCAAAGTGAGAAGGGCCCACGGAGAACACACACACACGGACGACACACGGAGAACACACACACACGGACGACACACGGAGAACACACACACACGGGATTACAAACAAACAGAAAGGGTATTGTGTAAACCGTAATATCTTGTGGTGAATGATGGAAAGAAACCAGTAAAAAGGGAAATAAATGGACTGTTTCGAACTGGAAACTTTGTTTCTGACTTTTATTCCGCAGCAAACAAGGTGTGCGTCAATTACACCAACAAAGCGGATCCTCAGAGGCTTAAAGCGTTGGCTTAGCCT